AGGGCGCTCTGATACTGATTCTGATCGTATCATTTGCAACTACTGCAAACGTCCTGGTCATCTGATCAAGGACTGTTGGAAATTACAACGTAAAGAGAAGGAAAGAGGCAAAGATTCTGGTGTAGTTGCCTCTGTCACTACAGTTGATAGTGCTTCTTCTGAAGGTAGCATTGTCTCTGACAGTGCTTCCAACTCTACTTCTCCTCATTCCAGCTTGGGTTTATCTGCTGAGGACATCTCTAAACTGAAGAACTTCCTTCATTTTGGTTTGGATTCTGGGCCACCTTCTCCTGGTTCTCCTCACCTCAATCACAAGGCATTCTCTGTCACACAGTACTTACCAAAATTTCCAAATCATGCTGGTAAGTACATCCTTTCTTCCTACTATGAGATGGATAAGTTTGCTTTAACCAACATATGGATTTTGGACACTGGGGCCTCTGACCACATCACTTGTTCACTATCCCATTTCCTTCATTCTGTGCCTGTGAATGATGTTTCTGTCTATTTGCCAAACAACACCAAAGTGTCGGTTAGTCACACAGGCACTGTCCAACTCCCTTCTGACATCATTTTACACAATGTTCTTCTTGTCCCGAGCTTTACCTTCAACCTCATTTCTGTCAGCAAACTTACAAGTGAATTGCCAGTCTCTTTACATTTTCATTCTGATGTTTGTGACATCCAGGACCTTCTGAACCAGAAGCAGATTGGTTTGGCAAAACAACATAATGGTCTTTACCATCTCAATTCCTCCCTTCCACTTCCAGCTTCTTCTTCCTCCACTCACCAAGCTGCTGTCACTTACAATTTCAATCCTCAAGATGTCCATCTCTGGCATTGGCGTCTTGGACACCCTAGTAGAGATAGGTTTAATTTACTTCAATCTCATCATTCCCATGTAACCAGTGAACTTGCTCATCACTGTGAAGTTTGCCTTATGTCTAGACAGAAGAAGTTACCCTTTCTTGTTACTCCACATTCTGCTGATACACCTTTTGCCTTGATTCATGTTGACATTTGGGGGCCCCTATCCACTAAATCATATGATGGTTATGCTTATTTTTTAACTATTGTTGATGATCACACTCGTTGTGTATGGATTTACCTGATGCAACATAAATTTGAGGCTCGTGATTTGTTGCAAGGCTTCTGTCATTTAGTTAACAGACAGTTTGATAAGAATGTTAAAGTCATTCGTAGTGATCAGGGTCACGAGTTCCATATGAATGAATTTTATTTGTCTCAAGGCATTGAACACCAAACTTCGTGTGTTGCAACCCCTGAACAAAATGGCCGTGTTGAAAGGAAACACCAGCATATCTTAAATGTTGCTCGTGCTTTAAGATTTCAGTCTGGTGTCCCTTTAAAGTTATGGAGTGACTGTGTTTTACACGCTGTGTACCTCATCAATCGCATCCCTACCCCCCTCGTACATAACAAATCCCCTTATGAAATGCTCTATGCTAAATCCCCTTCTTTACACAACTTAAGAGTATTTGGATGTCTATGTTACTCTTCCACTCTTTAACATGGCAGAACCAAATTTCAGGCTCGTGCTCGCCAAGCCATTTTTCTTGGATTTCCTTCTGGCATTAAGGGCTATAAGCTCTTTGATTTACATGATCACCATGTGTTTGTTTCCAGGAATGTCACTTTCCATGAAACCATTCTCCCTTTTAGAACTCTTTCCCCTGAACCTCCTTCTTCTCCCTCATTTGTTCCTTCTGTTCCTCCTTTGGCACCTTCCTCCATTCCTTTTCATCCACCCTTTGCTTCAGAACCTGTCACATCAGGGGGGACAGCACCTATCCATGAAGCTGTTGATGTTCAGGTTGCTGATGTTTGTTCTGACTCTGATTCAGAACCAGCCACTCAAAGGTTAGACATTAATCCAGACCAACCAGAAGATGAGTTATCAGAGTTAGAATTGCAAGCTGAATTTGAAGGGAGACCAGTTAGAACAAATAGAGGACAACTGCCTGCTAGATTAACTGATTACTATGTTGGAGCAGCAAGCAGATATCCAATGTCTGATTACTTGGGATATGAGCAGCTTACCTTAGGTGACAAACATTATGCACTGAGTTTGGTCACTGAGGTGGAACCTGTCAGTTATGCAGAAGCAGCTAAATCAGACAAATGGAACAAAGCCATGGAAGAAGAGAGGCAAGCTCTGGAAGCCAACCAAACATGGGAAATTGTAGTTCTTCCTGCAGGAGAGAAAGCCATAGGTTGCAAGTGGGTTTATAAAATTAAACTCAAACCTGATGGTAGTATTGAAAGGTTCAAAGCTAGGTTGGTAGCTAAGGGGTTCACACAGGTTTATGGGATTGATTTTCTGGATACATATTCTCCAGTTGCTAAGATAAATACAGTCAAGGCACTGTTGGCAGTAGCAGCTAGTAAGAACTGGGTGCTTGATCAGATGGATGTCTCCAATGCATTTCTGCATGGAGACCTTGATGAGGAGGTGTATATGCAACTACCTCCTGGAGATGCCAGAGCAAATGGGAAGGAAAATCTGGTTTGTAAGTTAAAGAAATCAATTTATGGTTTGAAACAAGCAAGTAGGCAATGGTTTGCCAAACTCACTAATTCACTGCTGAAGCATGGTTTTGCACAATCAACTTCAGATTATTCTCTTTTTACCAAGTGGATTCATGGCAGAATTGTAGTTCTGTTAGTTTATGTGGATGATATCATCCTGGGAGGCAGTGAGAGACAGGATATAGAAGAAGTAAAGCTGTATCTGAAGAAGAATTTCAAGATTAAGGACTTGGGAAGTTTGAAATACTTCCTAGGCCTATAGATTAACAGAAACAGCAGTGGCATTGCAGTATGCCAAAGGAAATACTGCCTGGAATTGTTAAGGGACACAGGCTATTTTGATGCTAAGAGTTGTAAATCTCCCTTGGACCCCAAAGTGAAGTTGAGAGCAAAACAAGGTAAACCATTAGCTGATCCTGAAGCTTATAGAAGGTTGATTGGTCGTTTGCATTACTTGACTACTACTAGGCCAGATCTAACCTTTCCATTACAGCAGTTGAGTCAATTTCAGAAGGAACCATATACAGAACATCTACAAGCTGCTTTCAGAATCTTGAGATATATAAAAAATGCACCAGGGCAAGGTATATTCTTCAAGAGTAATTCATCTTTTCAACTGTCCGGTTACAGTGATTCGGATTGGGCAAGCTGCCCTGATTCCAGGAGATCTGTGAATGGTTATTGTACTTATTTGGGGAGTTCTATGATAACCTGGAAAGCAAAGAAGCAATCTACAGTCTCACGATCATCATCTGAGGCTGAATACAGAGCACTAGCACATCTTGTATGTGAGGTTCAATGGCTGAGAAATCTACTGGCAGAACTCAGTGTTGAAGTATCTTTGCCAATATCAGTGTTCTGTGACAACAAATCTACAATACACATTGCAGAGAATCCGGTCTTTCACGAGAGGACCAAACACATTGAAATTGATATTCATGTGATAAGAGAAAGGGTGAAGACTGGTTTGATTAAATTGTTTTATGTGAACTCTGTGGATCAGTTGGCAGATTTATTCACGAAGGCTTTGAGCAGGTATAGAATTGAAGAGCTGTTGAAGAAGATGGGAGTGGAGAACAGGCATGCTGCAGCTTGTGGGAGGCTGACAGAGACCATGGTTCAAGCTGAAGCATCCTCGTCTGCAGGAAGCAGAGGCTGAAGGTTGAAGTTGGTGAAGAAACGTCAGTGAAGAATGAAGAAGATAAAGAAGAAACGTTTCACCTCAATGACGTCGCACTGCATTTTACTTTACTTACCGTTTAGTTTAAAAATAATGTAATGAATTATCCTATGAGGCTGAGCCACGTGGCAAGCTCAGTTTAAACCTCTGCTAAGTAATGTATAACGTTCATATATAAATGAACAACAGAGAAACCTCAATCCTTTGAGGGTTTCCGATCCATTTCTGCTCGCTTTGTCCATTTCTCTTCACCCCCAAATCATATCAGAATCATGCGAGAAGAGAAGTTGGGTCTGTGGAGTACTCGACATCGCTTTCTCCAACTAATTCGCAGCGGAGACGTCGAATTGGAATTGCACAGAGAGCAACTCGAGATTAGTCAGTGTATCTCGGCTTTCATTCAACAGCTCGGGTCTCAACGGCAAGGGGTACCCGTTCGTAGTGCAGAGCAACATCAACAAGAGTTCAAGGTTAATGAGATGACCGGGAGCTCGAGGTGGGTGATCTTGCAGGCGGATCTGATGCACACATATGAGGTTGAGGTGCGGAGGCGGGATGACATCGCGTTGGTGGTGTCGCACGTGAAGATGTGGTTTTGAAGAGCGACGACAAGTGGTCGGAGGCGGTAGTCTTTGATTTCATTTAGTTAGACGGCAGGGAAGGGTTTTGCGGCGGCGCTGCTGTGGTCGTCTTTGTGTTTCGACGATGGAAGTGGCCGGGGGCGAGCTGGAGGAAGGTGAAAGGGTGGGGGCAGGGAGATGATTTTTCGTTTTTATTTTTCATTTACTTAATTAATGAAATATGAAAGTGGTCTGGTGCGAGCTGGAGGAAGGTGAAAGGGCGGAGAAGAAGAAGAGGAAGATCAATATGGATGGATGGATGGGTGGGTGAAAAGGGTAAAGTAGTGTTTTTTTAATTTATGAAATTAAAAATATATTTCACGTCACATTGCCACAACGACAAAAAATCACCACGTCATCAACAACTGTTTGTCCAGTCAGTCGTGACAGTGCCGTTAAATTTTTAGACGGAATGGCTATATGAGTGTATTTTTCAAAATTTGGCTATATTTGTCACAACGCGAATAGTTATGGCTACGAAAGTGTATTTTGAAAAAAAAAAAAAAACCCGATACGCACCGCATTATCAGGCTTTGCTATTCCTGTCGTCGTTAGCTCGCACCTTATCCCCCGATTCTCCAGCGTGCGCCCCAAAACCCAAAACCTCCATTTCTCTCCATCTCATCAATGGAACTCTCCTCTTACCTCACCTCTCCCCTCCCCAAATCATCGGAAATCTGCTTCTCTCATTCCATCTCGCCATTCCCACTCCAAATCCACTTACCCACCAAAAACTTACCTTCGCACAAGACCATCCGCGTCTTCGCCGTAGCGCTAGAGTCGCAGGAGCTCCCTCAAAACAGCCCCCAACGGCTTCTCAAAGAGCTCCAAGAGCGCAAGAAATTCACTTCCCCAAAGAAGAAACTCCCGCCAAAGCGGTTCATCCTAAAACCCCCGCTCGACGACAAGAAGCTCGCCGAGAGGTTCCTCAACAGCCCTCAGTTGTCCCTGAAGCAGTTCCCTCTGCTGAGCTCTTGCTTGCCTTCTTCCCGTTTGAACAATGCCGACAGAACTTGGATGGACGAGTACCTGCTGGAGGCCAAGCAGGCTCTAGGGTACCCTTTGGAGCCGTCGGAAGTGCTTGCCGATGATAACCCAGCGAAGCAATTTGATACTCTTCTGTATTTGGCGTTTCAGCATCCCAGCTGCGAGAGGACGAATGCCAGGCATGTGAGGTCAGGGCATTCCAGACTGTGGTTCTTGGGGCAGTACGTGCTTGAATTGGCCTTGTGTGAGTTTCTTCTGCAGAGATATCCCAGGGAGTCTCCTGGGCCTATGAGGGAGAGAGTTTATGGGTTGATTGGGAAGAAGAATATGGCTAAGTGGATCAAAGCTGCTAGCTTGCACAACTTGGTATTCCCTTATGATGATATCGACAAGCTGAAGAGAAATGAAAGAGAGCCGCCGGTGAAGTGAGTTTTTCGCTTCCATTTCAGAAGCTCAAATGGTTGTTTCTTATGATTATGGCATTTGAATTTAGATTTTGGGATATTATGATTTTGTGAGTAGGCTACTGCTGGCTATGAAGTAGTTGGTAGAGTGAATTTGCTATGGTTCTTGCTATTCCTGCTATTTATTGAGATTTGATATTCTGCGTGTGACAGTATTGTAGATAAGTGCTGAAAAATCCACTGTTTGATTTGCTTCATTTGATATAGTACCAGGCAGGGGATTTTTTGCATCGAGGTGAGAAATTAGAAATGAGAGGTTTAGGTATTGAAAAGGAATGGTACGAGATGTATTTTTGAGCCCCTCCTGACAAGTCAAGTTATTGGGTGAACGAGTTCTTGACATGATATCCGAGCCTTTGATGGGTGAAAGGTCATGTGTTGGAATCTTGGTAGCCCTCTAATATTCACATTCGATTCAAACACATGGTCCGAGGGGCCTTTGTAGAATTCAAACCCTTTTGCCTATTCTAACAACTCATGTTCTTTGGAAATACTGGTTCTTGATAGGTATGTCCTGCCTTTGATTGCAGAGATTACTGCATGAGGTTGTCCAAAAGAATATAGAATGCAGCTACCCTAAATCATTGCTGATATGGAGAAATGGGATTTAGTATTATGATTCTTGTGGTTGGTTGATAATCGAATACGTGTATTGTGGATCATGCTCATATTGCAGACTCAGATTTGTTTTGTCGTGTGAGCAGGTCAGTGTTCTGGGCTTTGTTTGGGGCAATTTATTTGTGTTATGGGATGCCAGAAGTGTACCGTGTTCTTTTTGAAGTGTTCGGGATGGATCTTGAAGCAGAGGATTGCCAGCCAAAGTTAAGAAGACAACTTGAAGATGTCGATTATGTTTCTGTTGAATTCGAAGGCAACAAGCTGAGTTGGCAAGATGTTGCTGGTTATAAGGTGAGCTCTACCTTTCTGTCTGGATTTTGTGAACTAGATTTCATTTTTGTTTTGTTAACTTCAGCAGAATCTGTTGATTGATTGATATTTGGTTCCTCTGCAGCCTCCACCAGATGCACTATTTGCACATCCAAGGCTTTTCAGGGCTTGTGTTCCACCAGGTATGCACAGATTCAGGGGCAACTTGTGGGATTATGAAAGCAGACCCCATGTGATGCGCACGCTTGGATATCCCTTGAAAATGGCTGATAGAATTCCAGATATTACTGAAGCAAGGAACATCGAACTCGGGCTTGGATTGCAGGTAACCATGGACCACCTGTACAGATATGGGTAAATTATATCTATGACCTTCGTAAGTAAGAACTCTTCACTGACAGATCCTTCTTTGTTGCAGCTTTGTTTCTTGCATCCATCAAAATACAAGTTTGAACATCCTAGATTTTGCTACGAGCGCTTAGAGTATGTTGGCCAAAAGATTCAGGTAGTGCTGGGTTCTCTTATACATAAACTTTTAGGCTATGTTTGTTTTGTTGTTGTACAGCTGAAAGTAATGTGTACTGAAAGCCTAAAAGAAACCCTTAGTTTTTGTATCAAACATACAAGGATGATAAACACATGAAGGAGCATTGTTTATGATCTTTCAGGACATTGTTATGGCTGAGAGGCTGCTGATGAAGCATCTAGATGCTCCAGGGAAATTCCTGGCAGACAGACACCGGCGGATTCTGATGAACAAGTTCTGTGGGAGGTATTTGAGGGAGAAACGACTGCACCAGTACATGGTCTATGCCGAGCAGGTCCAAGACAGGTACGAACACAACAGGAGGATGAAGAACCCAACCACTACTTCGGTTCAGCAAGCCCTTCATGGGCTGTCGTACACCGTGTATGGGAAACCAGACGTCCGGCGCCTCATGTTTGAAGTCTTTGATTTTGAGCAAATTCAACCCAAACCAGTGGGATGATTTGTTTCATCCATTGTTTATATATGGGTGTAGTAAAGCATTTTCCACATCTGGATTTAGAGGCTCTTACTGATTTTTGACATCGAAACTGGAATCTATAGTAAGCTTTAACAACCAGGTCTATGTAAATACGATAGTCAGAGCGCACTGGCTCTTGTTGTAGATGTATGGGATAATGGAATTGGGAGCATAGTGGCTAGATGAAATCAAATGACATTCCTCGACGTCAGCCTGCTTGCTGTATTAAAAAACAATAAATGATTTTTGTGTTCAGTAACAATCCATTATTAAATATTAGATTGAAGATTTGATTGTTTGCACGTAGAGGTGTAAACTGGAATGGATTCTTAGTGAATTAATGAATTGGATTGGTGAATTAACAGATCGTTTGGTATGTTATATTCAAATCTTTAGAAATAAAATGAAGTATCGTGTAGAATTCATTGTCAAATCAATTCTTGTGTTTGGTATGTCATATGTATAAGTGATTTAGTTAATAAAAGAGGATAATCATGTCATTCTTTTATAATTAGTAAAGAATTGTGAAATTCATTTGGAAATTCCATCTCAATTCTCGGAATTGCTATAACTAGTTCCAATTTCGTAGAATTCAAATTTTAGAATTGAAAATGAAATTCTTTTAATACCAAACACAAAAATATTTCATTTCAAAATAATTCCTCAAAATTTATAGAATTCATTTATACCAAACGGTATGTAAGTGACATTTGAACTTGAATTATTTTGAAAATTTAGCTATTAAAATGTCGTTTATTTTTTACATTATTTTTCATAAAAAATAAAATCTAGATATGAATTGTTATACAAATTAATAATATATATCAACCTGTATTATTTCAACACTTCATAAATTCACAAAATCTAATTAAATTTAGATAAAATGGATTGCATTCATTAGAATTTTTAGTGGATTATGTTGAAATTACCACCTCTATTTGCAGGCATCTGAGTGCTAATTAGCAAATCGTATATATAAGCCAAATAACTGGGCCAACTATTATGCAATAACATAAAGGACTTCCCCCTTCTTTTTCTCTCCTATTTTCCATTCTCCTACAGGGGTTAGCACTAGGGGTGTCAATTCGGTTTCCGGTTAGCGGTTAACCGGCCAGTTTAACCGTTAACCGCCGGTTAACGGCTAACCGGAAACCGAAATTTACATGCATCTGTCGGTTGTCGGAAACATAATAGGGTTAGCCGGTTAGCCGAGTAACCGAAGCCGGTTAACCGGCTAACCGACGCTAACCGACCGACGATACGGCGTCGTTTTGGCTAAGAGGAAAAACGACCAAACCCTATTCCTCTTCGACTCTTCGCCTCTTCGTCCAGCAGCCTCCATCCTCTATTCCTCTTCGACAGTTCGACCTAACCCTCTTCGCTCAGCCTCCATCCTCCCTCACGACCGGCGACCCCCAGCCCTCCGACCCCCCGCCGCCTCCACCTCGACGTCGCCCCGCCCTCCGACCCCCAGCCCTCGCCTTCCGACCCCCAGCCCTCCGTCCCTCACGACGAGTCACGACCGCCGCCTCCACCTCGACGTCGCCCCGCCGCCCTCCTTCTCGTCGCAACAGCTCGTCCGTCGCCCATTTTGAAGCCGCACTGCAGCAGGCCAGCAGGCAGCAGCTCGTCGAATTAATGTAGGTCGAATTACATTATTGAATCCAACTGATCACCAATCTCCCCCTTTCCTTTTCCTGCTCTCCTGGGTTTCTTCCCCTTTTTTCCCAATCAGCTTGGACCCGTTTCTGTTTTCACCCACCTCACAAATCAATCTCTGCCGTTTCGAAGATATGTAAACAGTACGAATTTGTTTGTGTAAGAAGCGTTTATGATCAATTTTGACTGCCAGAGCTCAATCCTTGCTGGGTTTTCTGTAATCGGAGCTCTTCCGGGTCGTTCAATTTTCTTGGTTTGTAGCTGACCTGGAAGAGGGTTTTCTGTAGATTTTCTTCAATTAACCGGATTGGTGATGTTCGGTGATTAATATAATGATGTTTATATTTTGAATTTTTGATTATGGATGTTGAATGATGATTTTGGTGGATTGGTGATGATTTTGAACATATAATGATGATGATTATTGATTAGTGATTGAAAATGCTTAGTCTCATTATCAAAAGTAATTAGAAATGTAAAATGATGATGAATGATGTTTTTGATTGATGAATGATGATCATTGATGATGATTGTTAGTTTTTATTTGTTAGAATTTGTGAATTTAGGGCGATTGATTATGAATGTCGAATGATGATTGTTAGTTGCTGATGATGATTGATGATGATAATTTGATGTAGGGCGAGACCTCCGGCTCCACGTGGTGGACGTGGCGGACGAGGTGCACCATCCGCTGAGACTGCTTCTCGTGGTGGGAGACCTCCGGCCCCTCGAGGTCGTGGTGGTGCGGGTGCCTCAGCCCCTCCTACTCAGAATCGGGGTCGTGGTGGACGTACAGGGAGTCGGCCTGTTCAGTCTGCTGAACCATCGGCATCGGCATCAATTGCATCGACTCCCGCCCATGCCGGTAGTGGAAGTACACCTGCTACTGAGCCTCCTTCAGCAGAAACGGTTAATCCGGCTCCAAATAAAGCTTCTTTAGATCCCTTCAATCTAGAGAAATGGTTGGAGACAGTAGGTACAACTGATTGCTGGAAGGACTTTATGAGGGTGGCGGTGGATGAATATCCGTTTGGAGAGTGCAAGCATTGTCACACTAAGATCAAAGCACATCCATCCAGGAACGGCACTTCTGCAATGAATACCCATCGGCTCAAATGTTTGGCTAAGGTTGCAGCATCCAAGGATCAGACTGTTCTGAACTTGCAGGCCGCAGATGGTAGTCAAGTAAGTGCTTTATGGAAATTTGATCAAGCAAAAGCAAGATATGCATTAGCCATGATGATTATAATGGATGAGTTGTCTTTTCGCTTTGTGGAAAGAGACGGGTTTAAGCAGTTTATGCATACGGTTCAGCCACTGTTTAAGATACCTGGGAGGAGAGGTATAAGAGATGATTGCTTTCATATATTCTTGGAGAAAAAGATGAATTTGATAGAGTTTTTTGAATCAAAGAGCAAAGGCAGAGTTTCAATCACCACAGACACGTGGACTTCTGACAACAACAAAAATTTCATGTGTGTGACTGCTCACTTTGTTGGAGGTGATTGGAAGTTGCAGAAGAAGGTGATCTCCTTTGTTCCGATCACAAGTCATACAAGAAATGATATTGCAGAGAAGCTTGCATAAATTCTTGAAGAATGGAAGGTGAAGAATTTGTTCTGCATGACCATGGACAATGCATCTACAAATGATATTGTGAGTGATTGCATGAGAAGGAAATTAAAGGCGTGGGGGTGTGATTTGATGGATGGGAAGTATCTGCAGTTTCGATGTGTCGCACACATCATTAATCTGGTAGTGCATGATGGATTGAAAGTAATCGGAGGAGCTGTGGATAGAATTCGGGACTGTGTGAAATGGGTGAGGTCATCGCCAGCTAGGTTGGCAAGGTTCAAGACTGCTATGCAATATCTGGAGTTGGATTCTACCAAATTGGTGTGTTTGGATGTACCGACCAGGTGGAACTCCACCTATATCATGTTAGAAGCAGCATAAAGGTTTGGTGGAGTGTTTACCACTTTGTATACAAGTATACATGACCATTCCTTCAGGGATTATATTGACGCAAGAGGTGGTCTTCCAACTGAACATGATTGGAGTCTGATTAGAAAGTTGATGAAGTATCTGAAGGTCTTTAATGACTTTACCCTCCTAGTCTCAGGTAAGTGAAATTTGACAATTTGTTTATTTTATTTTGAACATTTGACAATTTTGGTTTGTTTAAGTCTAATTTCCTGTATTCTATTCTCATTTGTACAGGAACTAAATATGTGACTACCCATCTTTTCTTCAAGAAACTTGTTCCAATTTATGACATCATTCAAGAATTGAAGAATGATCCGCGTGAAGAGCTCAAAAGGATGGCAGAAAAGGTTGAAGAAAAGGTACGAAAGTATTGGTTTGACACACCTGTCATGAATGAGGAGAATCCTCGGGTGAATCATTTAATCTATATAGCGTGTGTGCTTGATCCTAGAAGTAAACTTGATCTTGTGTCTGAAGTGTTGGTAATGATTTATGGAAGTATCAAAGGAATGGAAATTCAGACTAGGATTAAAAGGGAGATGCGGCAGATGTTTGAGATTTATAAGAGGAAGTATGGATCAGAGTTAGCATCTCAGCCTACCACTGATGATAACATTGTTGATGAGGGTTCTGTTGATGGTGCTGGTGATCGGATTAAGATGTTGGAGGAGAGGCTTAGAAAGAGAAAAAGGGAAGCACTTCTGCTGGAAACAGGAGGTAGCTCTGCTGAGCTTGACATCTATTTGAAATGTCAAACCGATGGTATCAATGAAGAGAGTGATGATGCAAAGTTTGACATTTTGGATTGGTGGTCTCGACACTCTGGAATCTATCCGATTGTTGCTGAGATGGCTAAGGATGTCCTAGCTGTTCCTATCTCTTCTGTTGCCTCAGAGGCAACATTCAGTTGTGGCGGGCGGATTCTCAGTCCATTCAGGTCCTCTTTGAGCGACCTAATGGTGGAGGCATTGATTTGTGCCGAGGATTGGATAAGGTATCCCCGATCCAGGGAGATTGACGACAAGGAAGATGATGAAGAGAATTTGACTTTGGAAAGTAGTGAGTTTCTCAAACTCTCTTATTGTTCAGTTTTTTGTCTTCTTTTCACCTAATTGAATGTACTAACACTTTGGAAAGTACTAACACTTTGTTTTCCTTTTTTTTTCTTACTCAGTTAATGTCACTTTCCAAACTAGAATGGAAAGTGCAACGAATACTGGCAATGTTGGCAATACAGATGCAAGCCTCAACATTCCAGTGGAGAATGAGCAGGAGGGTGAAGAAGATGCACCAGAGGAAGATTATGAGAAAGATGGATATGACGATTATGGTCATGACTTGAGGGACGTATTGAAGGAACAGGGTTATGCAGATGTTGGTTCTTCTAAGGCCGGTGATAAGTGATGATAGATTGTTTATGATGTGTTGTTGATTTGTTGTTATCTAGAGGACTTATTGTGATTTGTGGAGTTTATGTTGCTGAATTAATGAATATGAGACATTAAGTTGCTAATTTAGATGTATTTTCGGTGCAAAACGAATTGAAATGTAGGTTTGAGATTTTAATTTTAGGCCATTTTAGGTTTTTTCCCTTGCTGTCTGGTCGGTTTTGACCGGTTTAGGGTCGGTTTTCGGTCTTGGATGTCGGTTTTTAGGCTTTAGCGG